CCCTGGGAGCCCAGCAGGGAGGAGGCTGTGCCCCCGCAGGTCAGGAAGCAGGAGTGGGCTCGGTGCCTCTCCTGTGGCCACAGGAACACGCCTGGTGGCTCCACATGCAGCCCGTGCTACACGCCTGCCCTGCCCGTCGGAGGCCCGGAAAGGCCCCTTCTTCAGGGGTGCTGTCCCTGCTGGGCCCAGGAACACCAGGTTCCACGGGCTGCCAGGAAGGAAGGATGAAGCTGCATCCCAGAGACTGCCCCCACCCCCACCCTGAGCTGCAGTGTAGCCCCCAACCCCAGGAGGATGGTGGCACCCTCACCGACACTGGGCAGGGACCACAGAGGCCACACTGAGCAGGTGCAGGGTGAGCCTGACACCCGAGCCTGCAGAGCTCCCGTCCCTCCCTGCAGGACTCCTGCTGGGCATCATGGAGCAGCCCACCTGCCAAAAGAGGCGGCCCCAGCCTCACACGGGGGTCCAGCAATAGGACCATCTTCCCAGGCACTCGATCAAGACTTCTGTCAGCACTGAGCTCAGTGACTCCGAAGAGCTAAGGGGGAAGCACTGTGCTCCCAGCCCTGGAGGGCAACTGGGAGGCCCAGAGAGCCCCTGAGACAAGAGGACAGGGTGCCACGGCCAGGCTTCTGCAAGGAAGACCAGCTAGCAGCTGTGCAGGCTTTGAGCTGGGCCTCAGGTTCCCTCCCAGGACAGGGCAGGGCTCAGACACACAGGTCCTGGGGATGGCCATGGCCTGGCCTGAAAGTGGGCTGCAAACCACGGGGCAGGCTCATGTCCCCAACTTCAGTGCTAGCCATCACTAAAGAGATGATGCCCGCATCCCTTGGCCCATGGTGCAGGCACCGAGGTGGCCTGGCTGGCCAGGACTTCCTGAGAACCCTCCTCTGCTGCAGCCCCCCTCGGGGCCACCAAAGCCAAGGACAGCAGGTGTCCTGTTTCTGCAGAAATTCCTGGGTGTAAGGGGCTTCTGTTTGGAAAAAGGTATCCATCTATAGGCTGATCTTTTTACCACTGAGAAGCCAGGGTCTTATCAGACCTGAAACTCACCCTGGGCACAGCATCAAAGCTACCAAACTCACAGAGACCCTCAACATGACAGCCCAAACCCCAGGAAGGACAAACAGGCACTCACCGAGCAGAGGTGCACCTGCGTCTGGCCCTCTGAACCTGACAAACGGAGAGAAGGCTGCTCACCCACCTGCCCTGCCCCTCAGAAGCCCAGGCCTTTAACAGAGCAAGGCTCATGCCCAAGAATCCAGCTCAACAGATGGGTGGCTGGTTGCAAAGACACAAGATTAAAACACTTCTACTTTTCCAGAGTCGGCGCCTTTCCATCTGAACTCCCCAAGCAACTCTCCTCTTCCCAGGCAAGCTGAGGGCGGGAGACGCTGGGACACCAGAGGCTGGGACACGCAGAGCAGAGCCAGACACTGCACTGTGAGGTGACAGGATGGCCTGGATGGACAGACGGTCGTGAAATTTAGTTCCTTTAGGTAAGTATAGATATTCCTGAGAGTGACCATCTGAAAATTATATTTGGAAATACCCAAAAGGTCAGTTGGCATCTCTGCCACAGGTGTTTAGACCCAGGCCCTTCCTGGCCAGGGACAAGTGCCTGATGTCCCCTCCCAGTGCTGCTGCCCAGGAAATCCCACCTGCACTCCGTGCCTCACGAAGGCCCTCCTGGCTCCGTCGAAGCTCACTGATGTGCTGCCTTCACCGTGGAAGGCGCAGGGTGGAGGGAGCCCTGCTCCCCTGGGGCTGCCTGGCCTGATGATGGGAGAGAGACGAGAGCTCTCAGAACTCATGGAGAAGAGGAGGCTGCCTCAAGTCCCACAGCTTTCTGTGATAGCTTCTCAAGTTTTAGCAACGTTCAGCTAAACTGTAAAACACCATGAAATTCTTGACCGATATTCTTGCTAGTTTCACAGATCATTTCTTTGGCTGTCATAAGAATTGAAGGCTGAGGGACCTCTGGGGTACTCTGCATGGAAGAGAGGGTGCCATAAAAAGACCCCAAAAGGTAAATGTCTGCAGAACATCTAGCTCCTTGGAGAACAGGAACATGGCACTTTCCACCCTAACCCTTAAACACGGGGACAGACCAAAGAGCTGAGACCCAGCACCCCAGGAAGCGCCCGTGGGGGAGGATCTTCTCCCCACGCCTGCAGAGGAGAGAGGACACAGTACCCCAGGGCCACTCAGCCACGCTCACTGCCTGGCCGTGCCCAGGCGCCCAGCACTCCAGGGCAGGAGTCTGGCGGCTCCCTGTCGCTGATGGAGCATATGCACATCTCATCTCCTCTGTGGCCTCCAGCTGCCCTGGAACAGCGACTGACGAGGTCTGGGGAGATGCCCTGTAGGGGACCAGGAAACATATTCTGGGGTGGAGCTCAACCCCTTGAGAGTCTGGTACCTTCCGCATCATGTGTGCCTGCACTGGTCCCCAGGAACGTCATGAGCCTCACACCTGGTCAGGTGAGCCCTGTGGCCCAGAGGACAGGTAGGAGTCACATGGCTGCAGAGCACTGCTGGTGTGCCAAGCCAGGCAGAGGCAAGGACACCCAACACTGCGCCCAGGCCAGTCTGGGACAGGCAGAGGGTGGACTGCCAGCCACTAGAAGTGCCAAGGCTCCTGAGGATGCTGCTGCTGAGGACCCACGTGGTCAGGCACTGCTGTTTCCCTGGGATAGTGAGCCAGGCAGCCGGGGACTGCACTGTGTCCCCCAGACGCTGACCTGAGAGTCCTAACCCCCAGCACTCAGAATGGGGCTGTATTTGGAGATGAGCCTTTAAAGAGGTGACCACGTTAAAAGGAGGTCACCAGGGTGGGTTTGGGTCCAACAGACTGGTGTCATAAGAAGGGGGGACATCTGGACACCAGGAGACAGTGGCATCTGCAAGCCCAGGAGAGGACTCTGCTGAGGAGCTGGCCCTGTGACACCCTGACCTCTCCAGCACAGTGCTCCGGGGAGGAGGGTCCTTTCTAGAGCCACCTGGTCCCCAGCCTGGGTGCCTGGCCATGGTAGCCCAGCATGCTGTCAAGCAGGTTCGCCTGAACTGACTTTCATGGCTTCTTAAGGCTGCCTGTGCCCAGGGTGGTAGTCCCATTCCTCCTCTCTTGGTCCTCGGAGCTCACCGAGTCCACGGTGAGGGACAGTGCCCCTCACAGTCTGAGATGCAGACCATAACCTGCAGAGACCACTTGGGTTGAAACAGTCTTGGGGCTGGGGATGTGGCTCAGCRGTAGTGCGCTCGCCTGGCATGCGTGCGGCCCGGGTTCGATCCTCAGCACCACATACAAACAGGGATGTTGTGTCTGCCGAGAACTAAAATAAATAAATATTGAAAATTCTCTCTCTCTCTCTCTCTCTCCCCCTCTCCTCTCTCTAAAAAAAAAAAAAAAAAAAAAAAAAGAAACAGTCTTATTTTGAGTCCAGCACAAACTGTGAGAGTGCAGCGAGCATTGATAGTTCTTGGGGTTTGTAGAAACAGTTTCTTTAGTTGTAGCTGGACACAAGACCTTTATTTTCTTTATCTTTATGTGGTGCTGAGGATCGAACCCAGCACCTTGCACATGCTGGGTGAGTGCTCCGTCACTGAGCCACACTCCCAGGTACAGTTCTGATGTTTTTTAAATGCCTCCACCTGGAGCTTTTAGATTCCCCATATGATGAATTCACCCTTGGTCCCAAGATCCTCATTCTTATGAAAACGCTGGGTTACCAGCCATGTAAAGCTCCCAAGGCTGAAGAGAGATGCGGAGAAGGTGGCAAGGAGCTGGTGCGGTCAGGAGGAGCAGGAGTGCGCTCCTCTCCCCAGCCCCCAGCCAGCCTGCAGCCCCTCGTGGGGAGCCGGGGGCCCATCCGGCTGCCCAGTGGTCWTCGGCCCTTACACTCTTCCTTTGCCACAGAGTCTCAGGAGTCTCTGCAGCACCACCCCCTGCAGCTCTCTCTGGTCATGGCCTGTGGCTGCACTCTGGAGGAGAGGGCCCTGGAGATGAGGACTTCTGGGCCCAGTGGCCTCCCTGGGCACCTACCCATGGGGCAAGCACCGCTGAAGATGGGTGGGGTGGGTCCAGGTGGTCCCACCCCAGGCCTGCCTCAGGATCCCCTGATGGACAGGCATCAAGAAACAGACAGAAGGGCAGGGCCTGGGCAGCCCTGGGCTGCAGGCAGGACCCCTGGGAGTCCCAACCCCCTCCTGGGGGCGAGGCTCCAGCCCTGCCGTCAGACACCTGGCCCTCCCTGACCTGGGCCAGGTTTTCATGCCGTAGATAAAACTGCTGGAGCCCAAGCACCCTGCCAGGGACGCCAGCAGCCCACCTGTYGGGAAGCTGTTCAGTGAGAAGTAAGAGCTCGGGCCCCAGGGAGCCCGTACCCCGTTAAAGAGAAAAAACAGCAGCTCAAGACCGGAGCTTGGCACACACTCGAGCTCCCTGTTGCCGCCTGCCAGCGAGCAGAGCCGTCTCCTGGGAGGAGGCGGCTGTGTTGTTCACCAACGCTGGCGAGGTGGCTGCTCTGGGGGATTGTGGAGCTGAGGTCCCATCTGCCCCGACGAGGTGACGGCAATTAAGGCGGAGAGAGGAAGTGGGTGAGCAGCAGGCGTGCACACGGGAGGGGCCTGCTGAGGTGCTTCACGGGAAACACGCTGTGCACATGAGCTCCCCACCATGTGTCCCCAGAACTCGTACGTTGACGTCTCCCCCGGCCCTGGACCTGTGAATCTGACCCCCACCCCATCAGGGCCTTTGCAGATGACCGGGTCACATGAGGCCGCCAGGGCAGGCCCAATCCCACAGACATCCTGTGGAAAGGGGAACCTGACGGGCTCTCAGGCAGCACCCCAGGTGCACGGAGCAGGCAGGTGCAGGTCCAGGGAGGCCGCAGGGGCCGCGGCAGACCAAGCTCCAGAGGCCGGGAGCGCCCCGAGTCRGCACCCTTCCTGCCCTGTGAGGAGGAAGAGCCCGCCCTGTTCCCACTGCCACTCACCTCACGTAGGTCGCAGGGGTCAGCGACTTGGGCTTGGCCCACTGGTAGGGGGGCTGTGGCACCGACAGGTACTGCTCACAGAAGGGGCCCTTCCGCAGGGGCTGGAAGGTGAACTCCTCGGGCGGCAGGTCGGACGTGGGCGGGGTGACCCCCAGCTCCTCCCCGGTGGGCTCCGCCTTGAGTACCACGGAGGGTGCATGCTCCAGGGTGGTCTTGCGGGACTTGAYGGGGACCCCCTCGCCCAGATCCAGGCTGTCAGTGGTCAGGGCGTTGATGGCCGCCACGATGGCCGAGCTGGTGTACTGGGTGGAGTTGCCCAGCCAGGTGTCCTCAGTCACGCTGACCCGGGGGGAGCCGTGGGGGGACGGCGTGGGCGAGTGGTGCGGGGAGCAGGAGGGCTGCCGGCCGTTGAGGCTGTACTTGCGCTTGTTGCAGGGGGACGTGGGCCGGGAGCTGCGGGCCCCCAGCCAGCTTTCCTCCGTGATGCTGGTGCGGGGAGAAGTGGACGGGGAGTGTCGGGGGGAGCCCAGCAGGTGGCAGGCCCCCAGGCCTCGGGGAAAGCCTTCCTCGGGGTCTGTCGTCTTTGGGGACACGCAGGGCGACTGCCACGGGGACGTCTGGGGGGACGCATACGGGTACGAGTAGTTGGACTCGTAGGACGAGGCCTCCGAGTTGCAGCTCCTGGAGGAGAGGCTGCTGGCCGGGCTCAGGCAGGAGGGGTCCCTGTAGGCCTCCAGGCTGGGCAGGGTCAGGGTGGCAGTGGACGGYGACCGCTTGCAGCTGGGCAGCACGTCCTCCACCTCCACATCGTGGAAGAACTGGCCGCTGCCGTGCTGCAGGCCCAGGTACGAGGTGATCTCGATCCGGGGGCTCTCCAGAGCTGGGGCCCCGTTGGGCCGGGCGTGGCCAGAAGACAGGAAGTACCCCGCGGGCCCACTGTCCACGGCCCCTCCATACCCCGAGGGGTGCCCAGCTGTGGGAACGGCTGAGATGCCAGGAGTGGCTGTCTGGAGGTCGTGGCATGGGGCTGCCAGGGAGGTGTGTGCTGCGGGGAGTGGCAGGGCTGAGCCGGTGCTGGAGGGTGCGAAACCGTAGTGCTCTGGAGGAAAGAGACAGAAGGGTGAGTGGCCGGTCAGCAGGAGCCTGGCCCCACCCGCCCTGCAGCCCAGCTTCCCAGTCCCTGGAGGCCTGGACCCCCAGGAGGTGGGCCTCTGAAGGTGTGGTGGAGGCTGTGTGGACCAGGCCTCCCACCCGACTCAGTCCAAGCCTATGGGGCTGTGAGCCGACTCTAGTGTCCTTGGCTTTTCCCACAAGACCCACATCCCCAGCCATTCTACCTGAGTCCAAGCCTAGCCCCACTCCTGGGCACCCTCTCGGGCTCAGTTCTCTCCTCCACACACACCACAGCCCAGCACTGTGTGTCCTTGATCACTTTTTTCTCCCATCCCGTCCTTGACCGGTAGGAAAGAACTTTTGTGGTGGCAGAACTTTTACCTGCCCTGGTCTCTGGTGTTCGCTGTCTTCAGAGCCTAGTGTACCTGACACACAAAGAGAAGGTGTTCGCTTTGCTTCATGGTGAATGGATGGGCGGAGGTGGGTGGTGACTCTGTGTGTGGATGGAATACGACGGAGGGAAGGGCGGTGTGCAGGTGCATGAAGGGTGAAGGCTGCTGGGTGGATGGTTGGGGATGGATGGATGGACAGACAGATGGATGGGCAGGTGGACAGAYGGGTGAGTGAGTGCATAAGTGGGTGGTGGGTGAATGGGGTGCATGGATAATGGATAGATAGTGGACGGGAGGGTGGGTAGATGGTGGGTCCAAGGATGGGCAGGTATGATGGATGACAGGGGATGGATGGATGATGTAGAGGGGTAGGTGGAAAGAGGTATGTATTTTAGATACAGGGACCTAGACATTCAAACAGATTTAAATAGGATGATTACTGTGAAGGTATGTAATCTCCAGCTCAAGGACTAGATGAAAACATGGATTCTGAAGTCCCTCTCATAGATGGTTGAGGCTAGCTTGTGTCCTAAGAATCCATTTTTTAAAACAAAACAAACAGACGATTCTGATACACAGTTAGATTTAAGAATCATTGTGTATAATTACATGTCAAAATATTTTCTAGAAATCAGTTTTGTCCTCATTAGTAGTTTTAACAGGAAAGCTTTCCTTCCGGGTTTCTGACTGGCCAGCCCTCCCACAGCACTAGTGGTCTGCAGATGAGCATCCCAAGTCTGTACGGAACAGAAGCAGGACAGGGCAACTCCAAACGCCCGGTAGAGGAAGTACTGTATTCAAGGTGGCTGCCCTCTGTGTGTCCCTGTTCAGAAACAAGCAGGGATGAGCCCCAGGAACCAGGGGGCTCGGAGCACCAATCGAAACCAATTCTTATCTTCTAACACTACGGGCCTAGCACTCAACATGGGTGGAGTTCTGTTCCTATTCCTGCTTACTTCCCCAAACAGCCACCCACCACCCTGTCTCTAAGCCCATCTTTTATAACCACCGCTCCCTCTCCCCAAGGTGGCTTTCTTCCCAAGGTGACTTCTGGCAACTCCAGAGCCATGACAAGGGAAGGCAGCAGAGCAGCCCGGAGGCGACCGGAGCTCTGCAGGCGGCCCCGAGCCCTGCAGCCGGGCAGAAGGGCTGCGCCAGTCCTTGCCATGTGCCAGCCCCACTTCCCAATCGTAACGCCAACCCCTCAAGACAGGAAGCCAGAGTCGACTGTGAAAAATTAGATTTCAGCCTCTTAAACAATCACCCGGAAAGCCACTTCCTGGAGAAGAGAGTAGAACGCTGAGGAAGACGTGGCATCAACCAGCCGGTGGCATCTGGGGGTCCGACAGGGCCAAGCACTGTGCAGGCCTGGGCTGAGGGCAGTAGACAGGCTGACCCCCCGTGGATGGCATGGACTGTGCCACCAGGCAAGGACGCTGGCCCAAAGGAATCAAGCTGCGGCAGGCCCAGACAGGCTCAGGTGGGAGGCTGAGGCCGGGAGGAGCAGTCCACTTGGGCAGTGGGTGGCCAGGCTCTGTCAAAGGTCCTGCCAATGGCACCCACAGCTCTGCAGCAAGAGCAGCACCCCAGGCACACACCACTGGGCTCCCTGCCCTCTCTCTCCACTGTTTTACCACAAGATGTCTAAAGAGACAAGTCAAGGGGGGAGAAGTGTGGTTCTTTATGGTCACCAACATGTCACTCTGCTGACGAACACAGGTGACAGACACAGAGGCAAGGTGCTCCTCAGAGCCTTCCTGACTCTGGTCCCACATCCCAAACTGAACTTGCACTTGGGCAGCACACTCAGCACAGAGCCCTGGCAGGGACAGGGGAGTATCTCCAGGTAAGAGACTGGGCACCATCTCCTTGACCAAAGATGGACGGAGGGTTCAGGCTGTGTGCAGCCTTGGCCACCGCAGCACTGGCTTGAATCACCAGGCAGAGTACTGATAATGGAAGGGCGTATGTGTTTGTGAGTAAGACTTTAGTAGGTTCCAACAAATCATTTCACCATGGTGGGCCTGTCCCAGGTGAGCTCTGAGGTAAGGCGGCTGGCACAGCCCTGGGGCCTGCCCCCCGCACGGAGCTTCTACTCGCAGGCCTCCCACTGACACGGCTTCCTCTGAAACACACCTCTCCTGGGAGTTCTCCTACTCACTTGTCACCGTGCCCTACCCTGCAGGGTCTCCACACACAACTAATGCCCGCCCACACCTGGGAGCCTGCCCACAGGCTCCTGAGGTCCCCAAGGAAGAGCCAGGAGCCTCCACCTGTGGTCTGCTTCTCAGCATCCAGGGCCCTGGCCACCACCTGGAGCCCATCAACTCCACAGCAGGCTGAGAGGCGCCGGTCTGGCAGGTGAGTGGGATGCAGGTGCGGAGGGGGCTTCCTCCCCAGAAGTCCCCACACCACATCTGCCTCCAGACACACAGCCTCAGGCAGCACCTCCTGGGAGTGTGGAACCATGCCCCACCAGGAGGAAGAGGCTGGTCACCCGCGGTGGCAGAGGAGAGGGGCCTAGGAGCTGACACCAGAGCCCAGGGACCCTGTCCGCTCAAGGCCCTCTGCTCTGAGGCACGAGGACACTAACACTCAAGGAAGGATGGGTTTTCATCTCCAGCAAATCCAACTCCAGAGGACCAGGGACTGGGAGGCAGAGGCTGGTGGGAACGCTGAATGGCTTTGCAGAGGCCCCGGCCCAGGCCCACAGGCCCCCACAGCAGGTGGCTTTGCAGGCTGCCAGGCCCTAAGGAGGCCAGGTGTGGCCCATCAGAGCACACCTCCCCAGACAAGACACTCGCTACTTCAGCGACAGCGCCCCTGGGTTGAGCTGTATCTGACAAGGAAGGCGATCTGCAATGAGCAGAGCCGACCCTGGGCTACCCTCCCACCCGACTCTCCACTCAGCACCCCCCACCCACAGGACCGGCTTGGGCTGCACAGGGTCCAGGAGACGGCAAGAGGATCTACAAAAGGTTCCAGAGGAGACGGCAGGGCAGGGCAGGCAGAGGGCATGGCCCTGGGGCCGCTCTGGCCCTCCTGGGCTGCAGGAGGAGGGGTTTCTGAGAGAAGGGCCGGGCAGTGAGGGGAATGAGGCAGGGCCTGGCTGTGCAGCACAGCACAGACCCAGGACATCCGAAGGGAGTCTTTACTCAGACCAAAGTGCTCCGATGACACCGGGTTTAATGGGGGAAGTAAAAACATTCAGGCTTTATGAAAAAACCAGAAAGATTCACCTTGTGTGAGTTTTCCTTAAAGAAGCCACGGTGAAGGCTCAGGTGCCCGTGCTCCTGCTGGTCTGCCGTCAATCAAGCAGCCCTCAGGTGCTGGCCCTCCATGGACCAGGGAGGCCCCTCAAGCAGAGAGCTGCCCTGCCAAGCCCACCTGCAGCTGCAGAGCTGACCGTGCCCCGTGACTTCCCACCTGTCCTGTCCAGAGCGGAATTCCTTCACATGCAAGGTCAGTCTGCAGGGGATGAGCGAATGCCAGCAACTTTCTTAAGAATTCTGAACAATCTCCGCAACTTCTGTCAAGCCAGACAGGACTGAAGAACTTGGCTGCCACACCCAGGAAGGCACCAGCAGCCCAAGGGGCTCTCTGACCCGCAGCGCAGGTGACTGCAGAAGAGAGTCCTGTCCTGGGCACATTCCAAGCTGTCGCATCCTAAGACGCATCACAGAATGTGAAGCCAGCTGGCCTTCCTCTGTGGYCCCTCTGCTCTCCCACTCCTCTAACTCACGCGGGCCACTCCTCTCCGCTGCCCTCCTGGGCACACCATGCCACACTGGGTACTGATGCCACAAAACTGTGCAGGCTGGGAGCAGGGAGTGCAGGACACTGTGCACTGGGCTCCTGAGCTGAACAGCTTCCCTGGTCTTCCCTCCTCAGCTAGCCAGCCTGTCTGAAGGCGTGTGCATCCTTCTGTGGCGCCAGTTCTTTCAGCACCTGCCTCTGAGCAGCCCCAGAGGTAAGTGTGTGGTGTACTTCCTCTCAGGACACCACAGGCGAGCAGCAGCCCACTCGGCAGTCCACTGTGACCTCCAGGCACGGCCCTGGGTCAGCAGGGAAGTGCAGTCAGGAGCCCTCACTCTGCATAGGCCAGGATGAGCGGTACTTCCACGGTGCGGCACCAGGCAGGTGCTTTCTGACAAGAGACACCCTCTCAGGCCCTGGGCAGGTCCCCTCCGCTCACACCAGCTCGCTCCATCACAGAGGACTTAGTTTACATGGTAAGGAACATCCCCTTTAGCCTTTGCTGGGGTTGGACTGCAGGACACAAGGCTAGAAATAGAACTGGGAAAAGCCTGCCAGCCAGGCCCTGTCCTCCAAACGCTGGCAGACACAGCTCTCTGCACACACACGCAGTGGGGCTGGGGTCCAGGCCAAGAGGGGGCAGCACACACGGGCATCAAACAGAAGAGGCGACCCCCAATCCCCTGCAGCCTTGCAGCCTTGCAGGTCACTCAGCACACCATGGCCCTACCTGAGGGATGGTGTGAGGACAGGTCAGCTGGTGGTGTGACAGACAGCAACAGGTTCTGAGGTCCTGTGGTGCTGGAGAGACTCACAGGGCAGCAGTCGGGCCCGCTGC